TACTAACTCTATGGATGAATAATAAATTACTCTGAGATAAACTTTACCTTTCAGCTGAATTTAATGGTAAAATTTTGTCATCTTCCACAGCTATGAAGTATCTATCAAGAAAGAATGAAATTTACAAAACAAAGAAACTGGAAAAAAACCCAATAATTTGTTTCCCACTTCTATTAGACTAACCGCACTAAATTATATTCATTTTTTTCTGAGAAAATGCCTCTTTTATTACAATTCTTTCCCCATAGACCACCTAGTTCTTTGTCAAACGTGATTATTAATAATACGTCCTTAAGTTTCAAAACACTCCCCAAATTAATGTCAATGTTTATAATTTGGAAATTAGAAAACAAAGAAATAGACCATACCACTTTAATCAAACTAAAATTAGAACTCGAAGTTTCTAATTTCTCAGGAGTAGGTATCCCCCTTTCTTAATGAACTTCAAGGAACTGAAACAATTTTCTTAAAGTGGATATTATTTGAAATAAGCAAGTGCGGGAACATTTTGTGGTAAGCCAGGACTTCCAATGTAGTGATACTCATTTTCTAAACATATCAGACCCCGTCACCAGCAATGGCCTACAAATGGAACCCACAGCATGTTAGTGTCAAATCACAAAATCTTGCAAATAGTAAATCCCTATAACCAGTTTGCAAAATGTTCATTACAAGAACAACACAGGAACACAAAGCCAAACCAGTATTCTTCACTACCTGCTTTGCATAATTTATTACTCACTCTTGTTATTTATTTGGGGTAATAGAAGATAGGAAAACAAACAGAAAGTTTAGCAAGGTTGAGTTAGTAAATATGTTATTTAAGTATTTATAAATACGTTCCTATAGATACGCCATATTTTATCAAAACTTTACATTTTTATCTACACCGCACCTGCATCCTTAAGTAACTAAATAAGAGAATACTCACACTATCCACAACCCGGCTGTAGTAAACAAAGTGAATACAAGAGGTAGAAACATCCAGACGCTGCATTTCTTCCCATCCATGCTGGCACCACTGGAATAAAATGAACGGGTATTAAAAATTAAGGCAAAAATTTACCTCTTTCAAGATATTAACAGAAAGGAAGTTTAGTATAACTGAAAAAAAAACAGTGTATCTTATGAAACCATGATTCAAATCAGCATCATTACTGCCACCTTCTCATGCGGGAAATCCCTTAAGCACCTAACTTGGATAATTGTTAAATAGCATCAGTTTAAATATTCCAGAGTCTTAGTTGAAGACTAATGAAAAATTTTTCATAAAAACATTTATCCTTGTATAAGCGTAGATACATTTAAGAAAAGCCAAAAGGGTCTGGGTTAGGACTTCAAGGAGAAGAGCTAGGTACCAAAGGCGGGCTCCAACCTACTTTCAGTGCTCGTGCTGACATTTATGGATTTAGGGATCTGATGTGTACACACGTCTACAGCCTGGCAGACATGAGTTGTGGAAACAAATGGTTGCTAAATAAATTAGCAACACAGGAGGAAATGACAAATGCTTTGCAAATCTGAACTTTTCTCATGACATGTTACTGAGCAGCTATCTCAGAAGACTCTAAAGATGAATGTTCTGGAAAACAATGCATTCTTTATACCTTTAAATTAGCTCTAAAAAATACAGATGTCAGGCATTTTGGATGTTACATTTTTTATGCCATATTTTTACTGTTGGATATTACATTTTTTCCACCTAGTAACAATACATCATTTATTTTTTTCTTTTCTTTTCTTTTTTTTTTGTGACAGTCTCTCTCTGTCACCCAGGCTAGAGAGCCGTGGAGTCAGCCTAGCTCACAGCAACCTCAAACTCCTGGGCTCAAG